ACGGCTGGTCTGCCATGATCTTAGCCACCATCGCAGACGAGTCGGCCCCCAAAGACTCGCAAGAGATTTTGAAGCAGCACGCCGAGAGCATTGCTGACCCCAAGATGTTGTTGGATCAAGTCTTCGTCTGCCGCACCAGACGTTGCTACGACAAACGCCAGCTTCGAGTGCACTTCTCGGTGCATTCCTCCTTGGAGCCAGTGCTAGCAGCTCTCACCAGGTGTTTCGTCAACAGGGGCGCTAAGTTGAAGCGAGGGCTACCACCGAAGAGTGGGGGAGCTCGAGAGCTGCAACGTCTACTGAGTGAGCTAGAGGGAATAGGCCTCTGAGTTTGTTTGTGGCTGCGAGGCACCAGAAGCATGCCGTGGATCAGTACAGGACGCTCTGAGATTAGAGCGGGGGCAGATCTGGCAGCTTCTGAGCTGCGTGTCGCCAGACAGGTCGTGCGCAGACAGGTTCAACTGTTTGCAAGACTTGCCGCTCAAAGGCAAGGAGTTTGAGTGCTTACTGAGGCCGTACGCTGCCTCTTGCTCAGGCATTAGTCAACACTGACTGAGAGACCTGCCGTGAATGAATGAGTGTATGTATGTATGTATGTATGTATGTATGTATGTATGTATGTATGTATGTATGTATGTGTGTACGCATGTTGGTTTGTTTGCATGTATGTATGTATGTACGTATGTATGTGTACGTACGTTGGTTTGTTCACGCCACAGTGTGCCAACGCCCTCCACTGAAAGCCAAGAACTTGAGGTGATATCCTTTTGGGCACGTGCAGCGTTCTGACTGAGCCCGGTGGATTTCAAGGCTCCTTTTTTGGGGCTCGGACTTTGATGATTGCCCGCGCGCGCTACTAGACAACTGATCAAACACTCGCAGACTCCTACGAAATCCGAGTAACCGGCTGAACAACTCTTTCAACCCTTGCACAACCGTGATAAATTCCTATAAGGGCCGCTTGCAAGATTCGACTGAGCCTCTATCAAAGATCGGTGCCAGAATGGTAGCTCCCAGGCGCCATCGGCAGCTCTGATGTACCCAGATTCGGATGCCGAGGTCGGGTCGGGTCGGGTCGGGCCGGGAATTTGGGTTTTATTTGGGAGCATGTACCGGTTTTTGTACAATAAGGGTTTCTATAACGGCTACAACACGGGTGCTATGAGGATTACTATAATGTAGGGGTCGCGCCGGGAATAGGCGTAATGTAAGCGCCTGAACTATGTAGAAGAGGATGTTATTGTGATTGTATAGGGTTTCATACAGGCTCAATATAGGGGCCCTACTCATGATGAGAATGCGGGTTTTGGGGGCAGAACATATGTTTTGCAGGAATATAACCGATTGTAAAGGTTTCATACGGGCTTGCAGAAGGGTTACAGCAGATGTTAGATAGTAACTTGCGGGTTCAGCGTTGTCGGCCAATGTGGCTGTTTGTCTTCATTGTTGTCTCAAACCCTGAACCCTAAACCCTTCTCCCCTTAATGCCATGAGAGCATCACGCCGCGAGCATCTTTTCGCGTCATCTCCACGATCTTGACCTGGATCATGGTCACCAGTGGTAGTTGGCAGTGGTAGCAGCGCAGGAGTAGTAGGAGTAGTAGTAGTAGTAGTAGCAGTAGTGGTAGTGGTAGTAGTGGTAGCGGTAGTGGTA